CGGGCCCCAGGCCCCCGCGGCCCGACCCCGAGCCCACCGCGCAGGGGGCGCCGGCAGCCTCGAGCCCACGCGCCCGGAGCACCCGCCGGTCCCGCGCGCCTCGCCCGGCGCCGCGCGCTCTGCAGACCCTGTCCTCCCTCCTTTCTTCTACGCCGCTCCCTCTCACCTTCTCCTTTTCTTCGATTGCTTCTCCCTCCTGGCGGACCCTTCCTCCGGCTCTCCATCTCTCTCCCTCCTTTCCTCCTTGCTCTCGTTCCACCTTTCTCTTATTCCCACCTTAGAGCTCCCCTTCTGTCCTGTTTTCTCCTCGCCGGCTTCTTCTCGACCCTTCCCTGACTCTCCTCTAGCAGCAGCCCTCCCTGGGGCTGCGGATTGATTGGTGCCCCTGTGCCTCAGTGTCCTTTTCGGCTCACTGTCTCCCCACTCCCCTCCCGGCTCGGCGCCCGGCGGCCTGACCCTGGGGAAAGGAAGGATGGTTCCCGAGGTGAGGGTCCTCGCCTCCTTGCTGGGACTCGCGCTGCTCTGGTTCCCTTTGGACTCCCACGCTCGAGCCCGTAAGTCGAGGCGGAGGCTGGGCGGGCAGAGGAGCGATGCGGGCCCTGGGGATGTGCGGGAAGGTGCCGGGACTTGGGACCCCAAACTGTTCTGACAGCCGTCCAGTCAGCACCTGTGCCAGGAGGGGTGGAGACTCCTCTGCGGACCAGAGTGGGCTGGTGAGTTCGAGAGGTCGGGGGAGAACTTGGCAAGACTCGGAGCTGAGAGGGGGCTGCTGCCGCGTGGACCTGAGGATGGGGGTGCTGAGGGCGGCGGAGGGGAGGGCAGGGCACTGTGCTTTGAGGGCGGGGGGCTTCCTATTTCTAGCAGGGAGTCGGGTCTGTTTGGCTCCAGGTAAGGGATGTGCTGAAGAAGAAAAGACTTTTGCATTTGGAAAGAGCTCTTGGAAAGAAAGGAGAGCTAACTGGGATAACCTTCCCGTTCCTTTATCTCTTTTGATCCTCATAACACTCCAGTGAGGTGGGTATTATCATTTGCATTCTATAGGTGAGAAAACTTAGGCTGAGCAAGGAGAAGGAACTCGCTAAGATTTACAGAGGTAGAACTCTGTATATTTTAGCCATCCAAAGCCAGAACCCTCTAATTCCAAATCCTACGCTTTGCCCCCTGCCCCACGGTGTCTGGAAGGAATGCTGAATTGGTGGCGTGAGTCTCTGGGAGGGCACAGTGAGTTAGAACAGGGTCTTCATCCTCTTAGCCAGGATGACACGAGCTCATGGGAGGCAGACACGGACAGCACTTCTGTGAGCCTCAATTTCTTAATCTATAATATGGAAGTAAAAGAACTAGGGCTGTTGATAAGATTAAATTAGAGAAAATAGGTAAAGCATTGAGCATAAGACTGCTGCATGGTTGCTTCTCAAAAAATATCAGTTCCTTAATTCATGCTTTTCCACCTAGGCACAGTATAACCTCAAACAGGTTATAGAATCTCTCTGAACCTCAGTTTCCTCACTGCCCCCACAGTAGGCTGGTGATCCCCCATCTCATTCCCTGCCAATCTCTTGGAATGCCATGAGGATGGGAAACCAAACCAGATTCTCTGAATGAGAAGGAAGGAGCTTAGTTCAAACCCTGAAATACCTGATAAGGAAACTGAAGCCAAGGAGGGGCAGTGGCTTGCTCCAGGTCATACAGGGCAGAGCCTGGATTAAGACTCCAGTATCTCGACCCCCAGCCTGGTGCTCTTTCCTCTCCACAGCTCAGTTTCTCCATCCATGCCTTTCTTTTGCACTTGACTTTCTGGAGCTGGTGGTGCTGGATTTTGTCTGTCTTGTCTCCGTTGGTGAGAGCAGGCTGCGTGTCTCTGGCCCGCTAGCAGCGTGGACTCATAGAAGTCCTTAGGAACAAGTAATGGAAAGAGCTCAGGGTTGGGTTCAAGTTCTGGCTGTGCCCCTTATAGCTGTGTGACTTTTTATAAGTCATAACTTTGCTGAGCTTCAATTTCTTCATCTGTGTAAGAGAGATACTAACCTGGAACTTGAAGGGTTCTTGGGAGAATCAAAGGAGGTAATGTGTTAAAGTGCCCAGCACAAAAAGTGCCAGAACAATGCCAAGTACTCAGTAAATGTCTCCTCCCCCTCCTTGAACCCTGGGGGTTTCCTTTTAACGCCTGCCTGCTGTTTCTTAAAAGAGACTTTGCACAGGATGCCCTCCATGCCTGCCTCCCTTCCAGTTGGCACCTTGTTCTTAGCCTCCAGGGTTTTTCTCCAGATACCTTGCTCTCGATGCATCTTGGAAAGGTGTCCTAGAACCAGACCATTGTGCGGGATTGTCCCATGCGCACCCCTCCTCTTTCCCTGCCATACCTTGTCAGCCCCTCACGGCCTTGCTTAGGTCACACCTCTTCCAGCTAACTCTCCCTGGTGACATGATCCACTCTGATCTCCCCTCCTCCGTGCCTCCACTGGCCTTCAGCTTTATGCCTCTCAGTAGGTCCTGCCAGTATTCCATCTTCCCTATAGTCTCGTAAATAGAGAGCTCCAGACATGTGAGAAAAAAGACCTGGGACCAACTTGAGTTAAGGTGAGGTGGACTGGCATTCAGTGGAGAGTGTTAAGATTTAGGATGTCAGAGCCTTTGAAAATCATCTGCTTCTACCCATCAATTCACCTATCCTTAAAGTTAAAACTGAAGTCCAGAAAGGAGTGACTTGCCCAAGGTCACACGGCAAATTTATTAAAGAAAAGACAGTGACCTGGATCCCAGTCCCCGATCTGTCACTTATTGGCTGTGTGAATTGGGATGCATCACTTCCCTTCTCTGAGACTCACTTTGTCTGGTGCTCACAATCTATGAATCTAAAAACAATACCATAGTCATTTGCCAGGATGCTATTTGAATGTCTCTTACGAAAGTCCTCGTCTTAGTTTAAAAAAGATCTCAAGCCTAGGAAGGCAAGAAATCTCCTGGTGACATCTAAGGTGCTTTCAGAAGTGGTGCCAACAGATGGAAATTCTCAAGTCTGTGTGGTGTCAGGCTCCGGAGGTGGCCAAGCCCTGTAGAATGCCAAGGGCCTGTGGGCACAGGTGGCAGCTTGCTCCTCAGTTGAAGTACAAGGCTATTCAAACAAAACGTACTCTACCTTTATTTCTATTTCCAGCCATAGATTGAGCCCTGATCATAATCCAGACTGAGTTTCAACACCAGCCATAAACTGAGCCCTAATCCTCCAACCCTGACCACAGATTGAACCTCAATTCCATGCCCAGGCTAGACCCCTTCCCTAGGCTGGGTCCCTGCTTACCGACTGGTACTAGTCCCGGTCCCAAGCTGAGCCACAGGCATGTGTGATGTTGGTCACTCCGGACACTCATCCCCTCTGTGGAGTGAGAAGCTGATTAGTTTCTTGACTCCCTCTCCAGTGCTCTTTCCCCTGTTCCTCTCAGCTCCTCTCCTTTGCACTCCTCCCTTACTAGTTGTCCCTTTTAGATGTCCAGCATGCTTCTGCTTTCTCTTCCCTCCCTCCATCCAACCCTGCTTTCAGGAGAGAGTCAGTTACCAAGTAAAAACATCCATCCCTCTATTCTTTCTTCAGGGGTTTTGTGTATGGTGGGAATTGAAGCTTTTGTTCCCAGGTGATGGAATCCCAGATCCTAGAAGCAGGCGTGGGGCAGGGAGGGAGCTCCGCATGGTGTGATGTGCTGAAGGCAAGCTTGGAGTCAGAAAGTCAGGGCCAAGGCCTGGCGCTGCCACTGTGACCCTGGACAAGTTGTCTTTGTCTCTCACTTTTCCCACCTGTAAGTGAGAGGTTAGACTCAAGTGGATGATCATTGAGGACCATTCTAGCTTTAACAGCCAATGATTCTAAGTCTCTAAGATCCAGAGATGCTGTTGCCTTGACTCTGAGTCCACTGTGACCTTTGGAAAAGGCCACTGGGGCAGTGTAGGTACTTTCGCCCTGCCAGGGAGAGTGGATGGATGGACCCTCAGACACCAGGAAAAAGGGCCTGGAGGGCCTGGGGCAGTGGGTATAGTGGGAGACCCACCAGTAGGGACCTTGCCCGGCCTCGCAGCTTAGTCACATCCCCATCCGTCTGTCCAGATGTGCGTGAGGCAGTGGGTGGGAGGCACCTGAGTGAAGGCCTGAAGTCCAGCTCCAGGTGGGCCCCACTCTGCGTCTGACTAGGCCGTGCTGCACCTCTGCTCTCCCACCAGTAGAGGTCTCTGCCTCACTCACTGGCTTGCAGGCTGCTGAGCCGGAGCCGGGCAACAGCTGCACAGCTGCTCCAGCTGTTGCACCTGTTCCAGGACTGGCCTCTCAAGTTCCCTCAGCCACTGACCAAGGCGCTGGGCTCTGGGAGAAAGACCATGAATCCTCTGGACTCCGGAAGAAAAGGACTGGTATGAGAGTGGTACCCTTGGGAGGTGTAGTACAGAGATCATTTCAGGCATCCCCCTGCCTCTGGGCAGGGCCCCATCCCACAGAAGGCTGTTCCACAGCCTTATTCTGTTACTCATTCATGTACTCAGGAGTTCTTCCTTCTATCTTGCCTGAATCCTTTTGTTAGCAAGTTGAAGCCATTTCTTCTAGTCCTGCCCCTTAGGGGAATGGGTGTCCCTATAAGTATCCTCTCCAGATCTGAAGACCGGCACTGGACTTTGCGCTGGCATGAATCAATGATCTTAGGCAAGTCCCAGTCCTTCTCTGGGACTCAGTTCCCACATCTGTAAAATGAGAGGACTAGAAGTCATCTCTCAGTCTCTAACTTCCTAAGATTCTATGAATCTAAGTGCGTATGTCCAAGGCAGAATAGAATATAAACAGTCCCATCCAAGCCCTCTGCCCCTTAACAGGTAACAGAGCTGCCTATCCTGGTCTGGCAGTTCTCTCCCTTGAGGCTCAGCCATGCTCCTGAACATCTGTCATGTGCCAGATGAAAAAGTCAGGTTCAGAGAAGTGCAGTCCCTTTCCCAAGGTTGCACAGCGCCACCACTGAGGAGCTGAGGTTTTTCTTCTGATTCCCTTAAGAGGCCCCCCCCATCGGGTGCCAGAGTCCAGAGCAGAGCTTATGTCTCAAGTTTGTTTGTGTGAAGAGGGGACTATAAATAAATAAAGTATGGCTGTGTGGGCATGAGGGAAGAGATGTAAACATTTTCACATTCCTGAGCAGCCTGGCTCACTTAGGTTTCCTGAGTTCTTGCAGGCTGGGGACAGGCCGGCCACAATTCCTGACCTCTCTGCTCTCATGCCAGCCCCTCCTGGTGCCACTTTCATGGCCTTTTCCAGTCTGCCCTCCAAGCCCAGAAGCTTCTTTCTGGTTGTCTTTTCTGCTTCCTATTGGGGGAATTCCTGACCACACTGCCCACTCCTACCTGATCCCTGACAAGACTTTTATCAGAGCATGAGGGTTTCAAGTCAGACTGTGGGAAGAACTTGGATGGGGACAGTTTGGGAATTTTGAAGACCATGGAATTGCTCATCCCCTTAGCTGCCCCAGGCTCCTGACCTTTTTGTACATGGTGTTATTTGGTTTGGCAGGTGGTTTGAGAGTTCACA